CCCCCCCCCCCCCCCCCCCCGTAGATACAGATATTTAACATTTTAAAACTATTTGTACTTCTTGCGTTTATTGACCTCCGTCGCAGAGTGAAGTCTGTCTGTCTTAGGAGCTGGATAAAAATTGGGTTGACGCGTCAAAATCCAAGATGGCTACCACCATCTATATATATATATATATATATATATATATATATACATATATATAATCAACCAAACACCCCTTTCATTTGAGGTAACGGCGCTTTCTAGTTTTTATATTTCTCAAAAGTATAGTTTCCTCAAACGATTGGGGTGGCACAAGATTAATGTATGGAGGTCAAGGCCACCATTGGCCACCCACTAGCTCCACCCCGGTGGTGGATTAAATTGCTCCCTCTGTTTGTCAGGATCAGTCGTCTACCACCAAAAAACATTAAGGTTTACTTGCATTCCTTGTTCAGTTTCATTTCCGTCTCCAAAACTACAAAACGTTCACTACTCAAATCCCTCTGACGGCGGACATCTTGTTATTCTGAATGGATTCAGTCATGTGACCAGCGGTGTGTGTGTCTGTCAGGTGGTGATGCTGAGTTCGGTAACTGAGCTCCATGCTTACATCGACCCCGGACAGCTGACCACGGAGCTGGGCGGCACTCAGGAGTACTGCCACGACAGCTGGATCTCGCACCGCACCGTACGTTGATACACTGACCGTTTAGCTTATTGTTGCATTCAAACTTTTAAAAAAAATAAAATTCTGGATGTCTTCCACAGGCCATTGAGGCGTTCGCCCTCATGGTGAAATCCACAGCTCAGACCCTGCAAGTGTTCGGAACTGAACTCGCCGAGACGGAGCTGCCCAACGACGCCGAGGCCACCACCAACCTGCTGCAAGGGCACACGTTAAAGAAAAACAAAATGAAGGTGAAGAGGCTCGGTTTTGTTTTATACATTTGTTTGACAAAGACTTAAAAATGACAAAAGGATCTCTGACTAGCTGGAATAATAGACCTTCGATAAACGATCACTATAGTTATAAAAACATGATCTAAGGTGGAACTGTGATCGGAAGGTCGCAGGTTCGACCCCCACAGACCAACAACATCAAAATGTGGGTAGGAAAGGTGAAGCACCCACACCTGCTTCACCCCTCCTTTGCCCCACTCTAGGCCCTTCAACAAGGCCCTTAACCCCCACCACCTGTTCCTCTGGGTGCCCTAGATGGCAACTCTCTGCTCCACACAGAGGGGCTGTGGTAGCTCGGTGGTCTGTGGTTGCGTCATGAAGAACATCCAGCATAAAAACAATGGCCAAGTTTTCAGAGTCAGAGTCAGAGTTTCTTTATTGTCATTCGCACCTCATGTGGTACATGTGGTGGAGCGAAATTATGTACACAGGGTCCCAGTTACATCCAACAATAAAATGTATAAGAAAAACAGTAATAACATCTAAGATATGAACTAAGAAAAACATCAACTAAATATACACTAAGCACTCATAACATAAAACATTGAACATCAGCACAAACATGAACATGAGTCTGTGAGCAGATGTGCACGCATGAACACATCAACATTGAAACAGATCAGCAGCAACATGAAACAGATCAGCAGCAACATGATATGGTTTTTCACAGTGATTATTCTAGTTAGAGATTCATGAGTCTAACAGCCTCAGGGTAGAAGCTGTTCCTCAGTCTAGTGGTTCTACACTTAATGCTCCTTAACCTCCTTCCTGAGGGGAGTGGGGCAAAAAGTGTGTGTGCTGGGTGGGTGGGGTCCTTCATGATGCAGGTGGCCCTCTTCCTGCATCTGGAGGTGTAGATGTCTGTGATGGTGGGGAGACTGATTCCAACAGATTTCTGTGCAGCCTTCACCACTCTCTGCAAAGCTTTTCTTTCTGCAGCTGTGCAGCCTCCATGCCACACATTGATGCTGGAGCACAGGATGCTCTCCACTGCACACCTGTAGAAGGAGGTGAGGACTGAGCTTCCCAGACCAGCTCGCCTCAGCCGTCTGAGGAAGTAGAGTCTCTGATGAGCTTTCTTGATCAGGCTGGTGGTGTTGTTGCTCCAGCTGAGGTTGTCATTCATGTGTACACCCAAGTACTTGTAGCTGGAGACCACTTCCACCGCAGATCCTCTTATGTTCAGGGGGGTGTAGGTGTTTTTGTTCCTTCTGAAGTCCACAAGCATCTCCTTTGTCTTCTTCACATTGATGTGAAGGTTATTCTCTCTGCACCAGCTCTCCAGGTGTTCCACCTCTTGCCTGTAGCTGGACTCATCATTGTTTGTGATGCATCCTACCACCGCTGTATCATCTGCAAACTTTACAATGTGACAGCCTGGATGGGTAGCTGCACAATCATATGTGAGCAGAGTAAACAGAAGGGGGCTCAACACACATCCCTGAGGAGAGCCAGTGCTGAGGGTTATGGTGGAGGAGGAGAGGTTGTGGATCCTCACTAACTGTGGTCTGTTTGTTAAGAAGTCTAGTACCCAGTTGCAGATGGAGGGGCGACTTTGTTCGCTGTGGCGACCCCTGAGGAAGGGAGCAGCTGAAAGATTTTTTTTTTTTAATGTTGACAGAGAGGAGAAGGTAGAATGACTTGGCTTTCTGTTAGCTCCAGAGCTAAAATATGTTGTTAGCTCCAGAGCTAAAATATGTTGTTAGCTCCAGAGCTAATATAGATGTTGTTAGCTCCAGAGCTAATATATATGTCATTAGCTCCAGAGCTAAAATAGATGACGTTAGCTCCAGAGCTAAAATATATGTTGTTAGCTCCAGAGCTAAAA